TTTCTTGTATTGATTTTATTTATTTATTTGTTTTTTTTTGTCTTTCCTTTGGCTTTGATTTAAATTTAATTTCAAAATCTTGTATTTATATAATTTAATTTCAAAGGGATACCCAAAAAATGGAGAAAATCAAATAAAACATTAAAAAACACTAAAACTGAAGTATTCTTTTTTAAAATTTTATTATTATTATTTTTAAAATACACATATTTTTGCTTAATTAATTAAAAGTGAAAAGATAAGAAATTAACGAAAGAACAAAAAAATATAAAGCTAAAAGTGAGGTGGGAAATAAATATTTCACAAAGAAATAAATAAAAACAATTATATATATATATATATATATACTAATTTAATAATTATGTGTACTAATTAATGGTAAAATGTCCAATTAAAAAGAACATGTATTTAATATTGATCGGATTTTTTTTCCATGTTTTTTGCCCTTCACTTGCTTCTAAGAATGTGAGCACCCCACTCTCTATGCCACCTCAGCACCAAATAATGTATTTGTCGCACTTCAAAATTATTTAAGAGGGTAACAAAATGTCCATGAAAAAAGATTTGTTAAAATTTCGATCATAGTTCAAAGAGATACTTGTGCATTTTTCTTTTCTTTTATTGGGTGATGAAGGTTAATATTACCATACCACATAATGAAGGTAAATATTTCATGTAAACATTATATTTTCGTAGATTAATTAATCAATTAAGTCTATGACATTTTTCGGTATTTATAACAATCTCCAAGGAAATTCTTTGAAGAGAGATCAACGCTCAAAAGAATCTTGAGAAATAAAAAGACGTTGACAAAAATTGAGAAGAAGATAGAAAGAAAAGATCACGTTCAAGATTTTTCGTCCAATTAGCAAGGCCTCAAAAGGAAAGGAAAATGAAGAATTTTTTTAAGTGACGATTCAAAAATTCAACCACCTCCAAAGAGTTATTACACGAAGACGTGTTTTATGAAAAATATTTAACTAAATAACTTATGTTAAAGGACTCAAATACAAGACACACTGATCAAAAGTTTCTAATCAAAGAAACTTACTATCATTTCAGCTTTATCATATTAATATTAAACTAGTTTCGATCAACTGCAACTTAATCATCCGAATTATCAGGCTTCAACTATGCACAAGCAATATCAATCTCTATTTTTCAATTACTTAATTTTTGTCCTTATTTCAACATTGACTCATTCTGATTATATTTCAATTATTCAATATAAACTAACCAATTTGATCCCCTTATCTTTTAAACCTCACTTATGAATTCAACTTTATCTTTCTTTGGATAAACAATATTGATCACTTTTATATAAGTATCATCCATAAAACTATTGTTGGGATATATACTATTAACCATATGTTAAGATACAATATTAATTTATTATAGAATAAATATTTGCTCAGTTTTAATAGATCATATATTCGTTTATGGTGTCTGTTTACTTATATAGTAGATGATTTAGTGTGTAGAGTTTTAGCTTATACATAGAGGATTATGCCAGTATAAAGTTTTTTTGTTCACAATCTAGGATGGAAATTGGACATGCCATCGATACGATTGTAGCACAAGATTATATGTAATTTATCTTGATTATGGGAACGGTATAGTTCCAACTTCTTGTGCTAGTGCATTTTGTATGTATTGAACGGGACCGAGAATAGATAGTTGTTTTAGATTGACTGGCAAAAGCATATTCTCTAAACTATTAAATGTACTTATATTCTTAATCCTGATATAACTATTATGATCTGTGTATATTAATTATCATTTTGATTTATTAAAAGGTGAGACTCTGAGATGGGTCAATATACCTGGTAGATTGGATGATAATAATATATATTGGTGAAAAACAAGTTAGTTGATGTAATCCACGTCTCGTTATAGAGATTGATTGATATGCCTTTTTGAGAAACTTATAAGTTTTCATCGTGTCAAACCTTGCAAGTGGATTTATGAATCTGACACATGAAATAAGTTAAGTAGTGCTCTAAAGGAAATTAATCATTGAATTAAATTCGTCAGTAATTTAATTTATTGATTAGTATCTGTAATCTTAACATGGGGAATTAACTAAGTGTTTAATGGGGAATTTCAAAATATAAATAGAGGAGTGCAATTACGAATTTCTAGTGGAATGATTTGTAATTTATTATGGTAAGAATAATTCAAATTAATTATTTGAAATTATTTCCATAATAGGAAGCCTCAGTAATTAATTGTGTGGTCCCTACAGTGCCCATATTTAACTAGAACTCAAAATCTTATTTCTAAGGGGAAAGGAGGAAAGTAGCGTTAGTTTTGGTTGAAAAAGAAAATAACGTGTGTTTTTCTTTTGATCAAGAAAGACTACGTTTTGTTCTCCTCTTTGGATTGGGAAGAAATCTCTTTAAGTAAGGATTCTCCTAACCTAGAAAAAGATTGAAGGTTTTCTATTCATACTTGCCCGCCCAAGTATTAAGAGAGTTCGGATGTGAACTTGGGATCATTGTTGAAGACTGCAAAGTTACTGACTATCGTGTGGATTCGTTTGAAGGTCTGTCTAACTTGTGGATTCGCTTGAAGGTATATGCTCAAGCTTCAAGAGGTAATTCTTGAATTAAATTTCTGTAAGTTTATGTGTTCTAGCATATTATATGTGTTCTAGCATAAACGATTTGGTTATCTATTATTCATGTAAGCAGTAAGATTTTTGGTATGCTTCCGCTGCGCATATAGTTTTCCAACAATTATCCCATTACCTTCTCACTTACCGCCCTTAAAATTACTCAATTGTAGTTTCCTTTGACGAGAGGTTTTGACTTCGAGCCCTGGGTATGGAGAAAATTTTATTGGGAGTGTCATTCTCGAACGGGCCCTGCAGTGTGAGATCCAAATTTAGTCGGGGCTCCAATATAAGCTTCAGACACCAAGTGAGGTATCCGTTTTAAAAGTCAAGATACATGATTTATTAATTTGAATTAAAGGGGTGTAACTTATTTTCTTAATTAAAGGAGTAATTGATGATTAATTAACAACTCAAACAGATTTACAACATCCTTTGTGTATCCCTTGGTACATGTTTAATTAAGAACGGTAACTAAAATATTTAATTTAAGGAGGAAATCACTCTTTTAACAACTTTTGAGTATAATTATTCTAACAACTTCTAATAAATTCAAAAAAAAATAATTAATTTCTTCCATTTATTTTCAAGCTACAACAAAGTGAACAACTATTTCTAGAAATTCGAATTTGTTTATCAGAATTTTGAGATTTTTTTTTTCAAGTTTTCATTTTTAGAAAATAATGTGTATCTCGCACTATGTATCTGATTCATGCACCTTATTTCATTAAATGTATTTATTAGGTGTATCTGTTATATACGTATATCTGATACATAATATGTATTTGAAACTAGTTATGTAGCTGAAGTATGCATCCAATTATTTTTCAATGGAATTTGAATCGATAAATGTGTGTTTTGGCTTTAGTGGGTCTTTATTATCGCTAACCGCGTTAACAATGAGTTTGTAATTACTGTAACTCCATAAAAGCATGATCTACAATGATCTCATTGAAGTATGACCAGATACATAACAAAATAGTCTCAGATACACTAAAGGAAACACACTAGATCATGATAGAAAGATCTCAGATATATGATAGAAAACAACTCACATATATTGAATAGAAAATACATACACATTTAATAAATAAACAAATATATAAAATAAGGATATATACATTAAAGAAAGGGAGATACATAAATGAAGGGCAGATACATAGGACATTTAGATACGTCTAACGAATATTGTATCTCTTCAAATCCGTCGTAAACTCACCAAGTCCGGAACTAGAATCCAGCACTGATGTGGCTCTAGATCTTGGCTTTCAACTTCTTTTCTCTGTTTTAACAATTGGTTTCCGGTAACCATAATTGTTTAATACCCATTCTTATTTTTTCAACAATGGAACACCGTCGACTGAGGTTCCCCGAACCTGTCAATCAAACAATTTTGTGGCCGAAAAAACTTTTGTTCCCATTTTTCCTTCTCAAATAAAGAAAAAGAAAATCAAAAATTGTACAAATAAATACCCCAAGAAGATCATATTGCTCAACAATCAGATTGTATTGCTCTGTTTTCAACTCACTTTTTGATGATTTAGTGAAGAATCTATGACGGAGAAGAAAGGAAGAAAGAAAGAGAACGGGAGATGAACTTGACATAGGAGATCGAGGATGAAGGAAGAGAAAATATGGTGGAGGTGATGGAGAACGCAGTGGGTTGGGGGATATACTGTTGGCATAGGAGTTCGGGGGATAGTTGATGAGAGAGAGATACTGATTATTATTGGACCATTAATTATGGTTTTTAAATGTAAAGATAATTAATTAATTCTTGTCTTATAAGAGATGTGTGTATTTGATTGTATCTTTTAAAAGATATGGCATAAAATATTAACCCATTATTTTCTCAAGTACTGCCCATCAAATTATCCCATTTTGGGTCACCAGCCATGAAATAATTCCATCATGATTTTCTTGTACAATTGGAAATGTGATATTGTAAGTACCATCCAATCATCCATGCCTTGGTGTTCCAAGAACATCACAAGTTCAAACTTGTAGAACTGAAATTTCACGAGTGTCCTATATTTTCTTGATTGGAAATTAATTACCATATTATGTGTATTTTTAAGCACTACAACTAGAGTATTCTTACCTTCAATGCTGATCAAGGCAAAAATTGGAGAGTAACAAGCAGGAGCGCATATTGAATAACATCATTGAAAAATAATCCCGCATGCAAATTAAATATAGAAGAAAATGAATTTTCAGGTCTCTAATATGAAAAATAAAGATATCTTGTAGGAAAGAAAAAAAAACATAATACTAAAATCATATTTGTAAAAGAATACAAAACCAAATTTCCCACAAACATTTGAGTTGTGCATGAGAAGGCTAGTTTAAGCTGAGACACAATTTTAAAAAAAATAAAATTTCAATGACCATCAGAAGATCCTAATAAATGAAGGTAAAACAAGAGTCAGAAGCAACGGTTACTTCTTGGTGCAAATACGTTTCCTAAATGTACAACATTTTTAACGAGACCATAAAAGAGCAGGTTTTCAACTCTTTTTTAAAGTAACACACAGCAGCAATCTACATCTAGAAATAAAACAACTAGGTACGCCGCTTCCTATCATCATCATCCTCTTCATCAGAATCACCACTCTCACGGAAACGCGGATTCTTTTCCTGCACAACAAGGTTTTCACTAAAACCGAAGAGAGATAAAAGGATTTGCAGCTCAAAGAGTATAAAAGAAAATACCGGTCTGGATTCATGATCAGAGTTTCTCCTAGATTCACGGTCATAAGTCCTCTTTGGATAATCTGGCCGATGGTGGTCATCTTCCCTGAGTCGCTTGCGATGATAGTCTGTTTTCCACGTAAGATAAAGAGTTACTCCTATTTGTTAAATCTATTCTAATGAAATGAAAAAATACAATGTCGCAGAGCATTAGAACTGAATCAAAAGCTTTGAAGAGCTTACCTCTACCATGTCGATAAGAGCCTCCACGACCATGGTTTCCACCATTATGTCTACCATCTGCATCATTTCTTGTATCAGTCGATGACAGACACGGGAAAAGGTCTATAACAAGTGTACCACATTTTTTTTTAAATCATATTATAGTGTATTGCAAAATCAACAGTTTGAGAACCGCAGATAAACTAGGGCTGATGCGAAGTTATTGGAAGTGCAAGAAAAAACTCAATGGAGCGTGAAGGTAGAGTGAATCAACTATTTCAAGCTTAATTTGAAATCCTCGAGTGGTTGTCTTGATTCAATCTCTTCTTTTTCCTTTATCTCTTGTTAGAGAAACTCTCAAGCTTAAATCTCTGATTTTATAATAGAACAATGAAAACTCACAGCATTTATTTGGAAAAAAAAAAAAACAGACTAATCAGGGGAAGAATATGGCCAGCTCAAAATTTAGGACTGGAACAAAACCGAGATCATTAACAACCAGATCTATCCATGCTCAAACTTATACAATTCTTTTGACCATACACGTTTGATTTTCTAAGAAGCATTCAGAATGTAGACATTGTGCTTAATAGGTGCAGTATTTTATATTAAAAAAGCACCATTCCTCTGATAGCTATGGTTATAACTCATAAATTGAAAGGCACATATATTAGAACCAGTGAGGTGTACGATAAGAACTTCACAAAGAGATATAGATACAAAGCAAAGCAACGAAGCTCTGAAGGTGCATGTTAAGAAGGGTTTCACTAACGTGCACTTTCACGATGGCTTGACAAAATACCCCTCAAAACTATTCCAAAGACACCAGTGAATCAGGAAAACAATACCCAAATGGTCACCCCAGAAACAGGCATTTCCCAGCAGCTTCCGTCAGTTCAATTAGACCAATTTTTGCTGAAGTTGGGAACACAAGAACTGGTTCGCAATCAAAGTTGTACGCACAAAGACAGCAGCGTGAGTGGCAAAACCAACTGAGGTGGAGGACGATGTCGCTACGGCGGCAAGGGAACTCACATACTCTGCCGGTGGACCTGTGCTTTCTTCTCCGATGGCTGATGTAGTAAAAAGAGAATCGCATAGTGAAGCAAGGTATGAAACTCAACTTTTATTCCCCTAAAATGAAGGGTGAAATTAAGGATGTGAAACCTTAATCCTAATGAAATTACTGTTCAATGCCGCAAGTGGAAAGGTGCTTTGATTGGTTATGTTATCGGTGGGAATCCAACGTTAAAGGAGATGTTGAACTCTGTATACAGAGCTTGGAATGGCGTTGAAACTCCTGAAGTATTCCAACATGATGATGGGTATTTCATATTTAGATTTGAGTCTTCGGAGAATCGGAGGATCAGATGACTATCACAGAGAAGGGTCCTTAAACATTCCACAATAGACCTGTGATCCTTACGGATTGGCTTCCTGATTTTCAGGTGAGGAAGGAGTCGATGAGAGTGGTGCCCCTCTGGATGCAATTCCCAGGACTGCCTTTACAATATTGGACAGAAGAGAACTTGGGTCGAATTGGGAACTTTTTGGGTAAACCTGAATACACTGATAAGCTAACAGCTCACAGTTAAAGGATTTCCCACACCGTGTATTGATCAAGATAGACATTACCCAGCCCCTCCCAATTGAGCTGAACATTGAGAAACCGAATGGGGAGATGTTGGAACAGGATGTGGAATATGAATGGATGACAAAGTTCTGTCCAGAGAGTTGTCAATTTGGACACTTCTATACAGATTGTTCGATGCCTTTCAAGAGTCAAGCTGTACGCAGGAAGAGAAGGAAAGAGAAAGTAAAATGGAAGTCGAAGGCAGTGGATGTACAAGTTGTACCACGATTGGGTGAGATGGTTGACAAAGGGGAGCAAGTGCAGATTGATACTAGCAAACACAAAGGGCTTATTGACTATGAGGTCCAAGCTGCTACGGCCAATGCACCCTTCAGAATTCAGGAAGACCACTAGGAGAGCAGTGCACAAGCTACTTATGGAATTGAAGATACAGGGCAAACAGATGCAGGAGACAATTTCTGAGGGCTTCAAAGGGATTACATCTATTGAACCACCCCACCCCCTATGATAATCACATCTTTGAACCTAAGAGGCCTGAATAGGCCCTACAAGCAGAAAAGATGAATTTTTTTCTGCTTAAGCATAAGGTGGAGGGTTATTGGCATTATAGAAACAAGAGTGAAGAGGCCCAAAGCAAAGAAAGTTCACCAACAATTTGGTAGAGAAAGGAACTTCTTTACTAACTATGATTATGCACCAAATGGGAGGACCTGGTCATGTTGGAAACCTGTAAATGTGACGGTAGTTACTCTGCTAGCTACATCACAACTTAATATCTGCCAGATTGAGGATAGGAACTCAAGCTTTGTTAATCTAGTCACCTTTGTGTATGGACTACAACCATTGCAGATATACAGGCTTTATGGGATAAACTAAGAGCAATTGCACCTACTGATGCTTCTCTCTGGCTGATCTTGGGTGATTTCAACACCATATTACTACTGAAGACAGAGATCATGGGGTCCCTGTTCATCAGAATGAAACTAGAGACTTCCAACAATGCTAGATGCTCTTCCCCTTTTGGATCTGGTTAACCACAACCACTGGTAAAGACTTAACCTCTTATCAACCATAGGCTGCTGGCAGAACGGGGAGCAGAATCACACAGCAAGAAATCATTCTTGATATGTTGGGCAAAAGGAAGTTGTAGAGGAGCATTCAGCCACTTGACTGTAAGGAGTTCCGTCATTCTTCTATTCAGGTGGGAGGAAAAAAGACTTTTATGCTTTATGGTCTGAATTCACTTGAGTCTTGGGAAGATTACTAAAAGAGGATGTGAATACTCCTGGCTCAAAAAATGAGGGGCTGAAGACCGTACATAGCAACAATGATTGGATGTTTGGCAGTGCTGACTGGTTTACTAATTATGGGCATATAGAAGCTGATTTCATGCTCCCTGGGTGATCAAATCATACCCCAGTGCTACTAAATACTGGACTGCCTACCAGACCATTGAAGAGGCATTTCAGGCTCTTGACAGTGTTTCTCAAGCAAGATGACTTTCACACAGCTGTCCATGAAGTTTGAGCCAGGAGATAAAAGGAGTATGCTATGTTTGTGGTCTGGAAGAAACTCACTATTGGAGGCAAAAGTTAGAAGAATGACTAAGAAGTTTTCCTCATTAGAGACCAAACTACTATAGTTGAGAACCAACTTGCAACAATTCCAGGACAAACTCAATGAAGACTACTTTAATCCTCAATTGATTGATGCTGAGAAAGAAGTACTAGTCCATCTGAAGAAATGGGAAGCAATAAATGAGGGAGTACTTAGACAGAAGTCAAGGGCAACTTGGATATCTGGAGGTGACGCAACTCTTAAGTATTTCCATGCCCTTGAAAGCCAGATAGGCAAGGAATAAGGTGGCCCATTCTTATTCAGCAGGAACTTTTAGCTTTCTTTGAACAATTACAAGGGAAAGCAGCAGTTACACTTCCTTGTATTGATATCAGCATTGCAAGGAATTGATGTCTCAATCTGCAGCAGCAACAACACCTTATGAAGAAGGTGAACAGAGAAGATGTAGTTCTAGCCTATGTTGCTCGGACTCTTCAAAAATTTCAGCGGGTGTGTGTCGGATTCGCCAAAGTAGTGCATTTTTTAAGAGTCCGACACGGGTGCGGCATCAAAAGTGAAGAGTCTGCGCAACTAAGGTTCTAGCTCTAAATGCCCTACCAAATGATAAGTCCCCAGGCAATGGCTTCCCTGCTGAGTTTTTCAAAGACTCCTGGCTTACTGTTGATGATGTCAGTGCAGCAGTTCTACAATTCTTTCAGAATGGTAACTTCTGAGAGCCATGAATTAACTAACCCTACCTTTTTTAAAGATTTTTGTCCTATTGCATCTTCTACCACCCTTTACAAGCTTATTTCCAAGATTATTACTACTCAGCTTAAGATAGTCGTAGACTATATTGTTGGTCCTTCCCAATCTGCACTAATTGAAGGGAGAAAAATACTAGTTAATGCCATTATGGCCCATGAACTAGTTAATGAGTGACCAAAAGGATGTGTAGATGCATAGTCAAGGTTAATATAAGAAAGGCTTATGACTCAGTTGAATGGTAATATCTAAGGGTGGTGGTATTGGAGTTTGGTCTTTACCCTTAGACTAGTTGAGCTGATTATGGGGTGTGTAAGTACTGTTAATTATGCTTTCCTGCTGCATGGAGGACTTACACCTAGTTTCCAAGCTCTCGTTACCTTTATGTACTAGCTATAAGGTACTTGAATAGACCCCTCAAAAGGCTACAATATGTTCCTGATTTCAACTTCTATCCTAAATGTGAGGTTGTGGTTGATACATATATGTTTTGTTGATGAACTGCTTATGTGTTGTAGAGCAGATACGATATCTCTATCCAAATGATGCTCAACTGTTTTGAGCATTTCTGAGCAGTCTCTGGACTGACAGCAAACATGGAAAAAAATTGCTTATATATTTTTGGGGTTCAACCTGAATTTAGAGTCACTGCCGTCTGAATTTCACTTTTCTTTAGGTGTGATGCCCTTCACATATTTGGGTATACCACTGTCTTCTAGAAAGTGAACTATAAGCCAATGCATGCCCCTGGTTGAAAGAATTGCAGCTAGGTGAAATATTGGACTTCTAGGTTTCTGCCTATGGTGGTAGAGTGCAGCTTATTAGAAGTGTTTTAGTTGAGATGCACACATACTGGGCTCAGAAGTTCCTATTGCCTAAGGTGTTATCAATGGTGACTAGTATAGGCAGGAATTTCTTAACCAATGAGAACTCTAAAAAGGCCTTTGTGGCTTGGGTTACAATGTGTCAGCCTAGGTCTACTGGTGGCTTAAACATTCTGGATTTCTTTATCTGGAATAAAACAGCATTTGGCAAACTCTTATTGGCAGTGTCTATGAAGAAGGATGAGTTGTGGGTTCTTTGGGTACACAGTTACCACATAAAAGGCAGGAATTAAGATGACACGGAGGCCCCAAAGCAAGCAAGATGAATTGTTAGGAAAAATTTTGCTTCTAGGGACCGGATTCAAGCTGCATGTGCACCAAATATGCACCAGATTTAGCATCAATGCAGCCTATGGTGCAATGCTTCCCCAGTTTCCAAAAGTGGAGTGGAAAACTCTAATTATGCTCAAGGGACTGGTCCCTAGACATCGGTTTATCTTATGGTTTGCTTTGCATCACAAACTAACCACTTTTGAAAGGCTTATCAAATGGGGCATCCAAGTGCCCACAGATTGTGTTCTTTGTGAAACACAAGTGATGGAGACTCAAGTTCATCTCTTCTTTGGCTGTGCTTATTCTCACAAGGTCTGGAAATTCTGCTGCAGTGGCTGGGACTTGACAGGCACATTGGGAGCTGGAGTACTGAGGTTGGGTGGCTATCCAAGAAGGTTATAAATATGAAGCCCAGAAATGCTATATTGGGTTCCTGTTTGCAACAGCTGTTTATGCCATATGGATACAGAGGAACAACAGAAGATTGAACTCAACGAAGCAGGATGTATAAAGCCATCATTAGGGATAGTATTCTGCTAGTGCATATAGTTGGTCAAGAAAAATGTAAACGGGCAGATTGACTGAATAGTTTGAACTGGTTCCCTAATTTGTAAAGCTAGTCCTGAGCCTGTTCAGGTTGGCTAAATAGTTTGTAAGGTTTTTTGTTTGGTTGTTGGCTGAAAGTGCTAGTTGTACATAATGTTATACTGGTTGAACAAAATCTTTTCATTCAACCAAAAAATAAAATAAAATTCACCATCAACATTGACACAAACAGATAATAACAAGTCAGAAGAACTGAACTTCGCCATTGACTTTGAACTAATTAACACTAGCTTTACTGGTAAGAGACAGTTATCCCACCCACCCCAAATCCCACGGTCAAGTCAAAAGTTTTCTACCGCATTGAAGCACACACAAGTCTGAAGTAGTAAAATCAAAATATGCAGTACCCAGGCACTTCAAGTTGACTGTTGAATCAAAATATTTCCTTAATGAAAAAAAAAAGGAAGAAGAAAAATATCTGCATTCTTTACATTCCACATTTCAAGTATTAAAAAAATGAGAGAAAGAAGCTATTTGCTAAGACGCAAGAAAGAGACAATATTATCGAAGAAACAACTAATTACAAAGTTAAGAAGAGTCGAACTTACAGTGAGGTGGCGGCATAACTGGTGGGTATGCGCCCAACGATCCTGTACCATAATCCACTAGCTGCCTTTGTGCTTCCAATTCCTTTTGGACCAATTTTCCATAACCACCTCGACGTATTGCTAGTTAAGGTATTAAAAGATAGTCCTAAATTTTTAAATATAATGAAGAAAAATGAAAGAATGATTTCTTAAACCCTGCTGACATCTTCAGGGTGAACAAATGCAAAAATTAGCATTGTTCTAGTTGCTTGGACTATCATGCTAGAGTTTCAACCAATCGCCCGATAAGGTGATGAAAACTTAATAAATTGATTAGCCATAAAAGTAAAATATTTTTGTGTGCATCTTCACGGGTTAAACAATATTCTTTTCTTTGATAAATTGGGTTAAACAATGAATCTTAAAACGCATATATTAGCAAACCATGTAAAAAATGTCAAACCACCTTTCCTATCCTTGATCCAGTAAACATTTCTGTGAGCCAAAATTCATCTCCTGAAAAGATGGTCACTTATACTAAAAAGTGTAGAAAAGTTCTGGTTCATGACAAAAGAATAAAGGAAAATCTACTTCGAAATATTTCCTTGGGAAATAACTAACAAAGAAAAACATTGCCTGTTAAAACTTTGCAACATCCCATCTGCTACCAGATGAAATTTCCAAAACTAAAGCTTTTGAAACACATTTGTGATACCGGTTCCTGCCTAAGCAATGGTGGTACTCCTGCTGGCAGCTGGGGGGAGGTCATAGCAGGTACCCGGTGGAATAGTCGAGGTACCCACAAGCTGGCCGGACACCAGCATCATAAAAACAAAAACATTTGAGACTCTGGTTTATTCCCTCAAAGCATTACACATCAGGGTCACTAACACTTGAGAAAGAATGTTATAGAATTGTATGATAACAAGAGGAAAGAAGCTTTTGCTTTATCCCTACCTTTTTTTATGACCCTTTATCCCTATCATAATAAGTAACCTGCTTGATGCAGAGGGTTATGGTTTTTGTAGATGGTAATTGGTTGCATAGAACCCGCAAAAAAAAAAAAAAAAAAAAAAACAGCCTAAGTACCAGAATTTTGATACCCCCAAGCAGCTTCACAGGGGTAAGTGCTTATTGGGAAAATGCTAGAGAGATGTACTCCCTCCCTCGATCTCAAACTCAATCTCGATCAAGTACTACAGAGATATTTCTCAAGAAGGCACTTGAGTAACCTAAGACGTTGCATCAACAAAGTATAGCCAAAACCTCAAGCATAATTGTGTATAGAGGAATAATATACACAATTTAACATACTAGCTAGAGTCAGATACCACTTTAGTTTCAATTGCCAAACAGACTAGTCACACACACCACATATATACATAATATTAGAATATGTAAACCCATTAAACTAGATCCTTTTTTTCCTCAATTTATTTATACCATATCGGCATACATGACGATAGTATGCCAAGTTTTGCCAGATTTTTACATACACTTCCCTGCTTTTAAAAGACATTTTCCTAAACAAATTAGCTAAGAGTAGTTGGTTTGACATCCTTCTGCATACAATGAATTAAGATTGACTAGCTCTATCCTACAAGTTCCACGTCTGTTTTGTTCAATTCCAGAATATTCATCATTTTAGTGCATGATAGGACCAAAACATTTTAATTTGAACTTAAAAAATTTAAGAAAATAGCTAGAAAATAAAAAATGACTTTTAAAAAAAAAAAAGCTAAGAAGTTGAGTGAAGATTATTAACACAAATTTATCGATAGAAGAGAAGGATATCTGGATCATAGTCAGTACGATATTCATCGCGTACCTGGGAAAAAATGTATATCAGATCAAATGCTAGTATGAATCTCAAGATAAAAGGATGAGCCTCTGAGGAGATTACCTGTCCACCACTCCTACCACGGCCCCATTGCCTACCTTCTTGAAATCCCCAATCAAAATCAACACGAATAGGGCGATCATCAAGAATTGTTCCACTGATATATTTGACAGAGTCTTCAGCGTCGTCTCTAGAGTAGTACCTGAAAATATTTTTGCAGTTATTACAGCTGCAAATGATATTCTCCTCACCTTCTTTTGTTTTCTTTAGCTTTCTTTCCCTTATACAGGGAAGGGGGTAATGGCCTAATGAGAGATAAACTCAAAGATATAGATGTAACAAACTACAACATACACCTAATACCATCCTGGTGTTCATAAAAAGAATCCACATCAAAAAATAATGAGCAAATAGGTTTTTGCTTCTTACTGCAACAGTGGAAGCTCCAAAGAGACAAGCTTGTGATACCCTCCTTGCATTCTGTTTCTATTGATCTATATTTATATGGACACATCAAAAAGTTCATGTCTTTCCTAATGTCAATCTTTTTACTCTTGACATAAATATAAACTACTAAATCATGTGACCTCATTTCAACTAACTTCTCTCCTTTTTGCAGTTCATAATATTATTTTAACTCCTTCCCATCAAACCTAATATAATAATACACATCCAAACATTTTTTCTTAAACTATCTTAGTATCAACCCAAGTCAATTAAAATGACAGCAGATCTAAAAGTAGCAAATTTGACAAGCTTGGAACAGGCAACAAGACAGAATGCTAAGAAACAGATAGACTTCCCAAATACAAATCCACCCACCACCACTACCCACCCGTGCATCCAAAAGAAACACAACCAAAACAAACACCATAACCTATAAAAAGTTTTCTTTTATTTATAAGGAACCCATAAAAAGTTCTTCTTGAAACATTAGCCAATATTTTCTGCAAGTCATCAAAGAACTAATAATAGCTTGTGGGTGAATATGATGACACATGGATGACATGAAGTTGCAAATACACTTTTAGTATCAAACTTTTGGGATTTTAAGGCAAGAACAGAGATACTTTTTCTTTGTGAAGTGCTAATTCAGTGATCCGTTTTTGCAAGAAACTATTTTTCTCTGATTTTCAAGCAAGAACTCTCCTCTTTCCTTGTTAATGGTCTTGTTTTCCATCATTAAGAAGGTGATAAATGGGTAAAAAAGGAGTGAAACAAGCAGATAACATCAAAGACACCACAGCCAAAACACTCCAACTTCTTGTTGTGATACCTGTTCAACTAACAAAGTCAAACCAACCCATGGACTTGAAAAAAGAAGAAAAAGATAAGAATAGGAGGGAAATTCTTTTATTTTCTACCAAGCAGGAGGGAAGTTTCCTTTTCAGTTCAAGGTGGCGAAAATATGGAGAAATGCAGCCCCATCTAGCGAAATGTTTTTTAATACTAAGGACCGCAGTTACGAACAAAATAACTATGTAACAAGAGATTAGCGTCAAATAACAATAGCACCTTCCATTTTTCTCCAAATTGATGCAAAAGTAATAATAAATACCCCTTCCCTTCCCTTTTTCACTCTCCTCTCTTCTCTTTTCTTTTCTCCTGCATATCCTTTCCCTATCAAAATAAGCTGATTTTAAAAGCTTGGCAAAGCAGGCGATAAGTCTTCCATTTTTTCCTTTAAGCACACCCAAGTTATCAAGAGATCCAAATACTCATATCTGACTTTAGTAGACTTCGCTATAGCCTATAGCCAACTGCGCACTTATCCAGCAATATGAATTAAATCCTTGACAAGCTCACCATATGATAATCTTGCCTACTGTACTTTCATTTCACATGCCCTAAGAACATCTGACTTTAGAATAAGGGAACATTACTTCCTTCTACTCATACAGCACCTTTGCAAAAAGAACAACTGGAACTAAAGTTTGCCTTCATGTAAAAAAAAAGGTCCATCCACTATTTTCAGCAGACATCTGTCTTGCCTTCTTCCTATGTCATTGGCCATACTCTAATACAACCAACTTCCCACAACAAAAATGAAAAACAAAACGAAATTATACTGACCCCTTGCCTCTACCAGGTATCTTGTCCTCACTTGGAAAACCTATGTGGTCTTGAACGCATCTAATAGATTCAGATTGCTTACACTATGCTAGGAGGGCATGTCAATTATTCTAAACACTCTATACTGAACAGATATGATTGTGGTATCGTCTTCTTTAATAATCTTCAGAATACTTCTAAGTTCCTTGTATTAACCCTCAGGATTGTAAAATATGTCATCTAAATATGAAGACACGGTGGGTAACAGTTGATTGATTATCTTGTAGGAGTAGAAATGGCAGACAAGATTCTTAAATTCATCAGGTGGCATGAACAAATGAAAAATACATAATATGAAATCCTTTCTGAACAATTAGACAAATTCAGAACTAGAGGAAATTAGTTAAGCTGGAGCAGGTGTACCATAACTGGAGAGGAAATTATACGGTTGAAAGTTAGCAACACAAAATGTAAGAAATTGGAGACTGAAAGAAAGTTCAGGCCATACATTATAAAGCAGAATCCACAAGGAGTTTTGGAATTCTTATCCAATCCCATCACAATCTTTTTAATCTCTCCAGCACGAGAGAACAGCTCATATACTTGTTCCTCTGTTGTGTAGAAAGACATGTTCCCAACATAAACAGTTATCGACCTTAACAAAGCATCTTCAAATTCTTCTTGCGTTCCTGGAAATCTTCTGTCCCTATAAGCTGAAATCTTGGCTAAATCCTAAGAGAAAAAACAGCAGATAAAATGTTAAAAAATAGTTAAAGGCAAATAAAACCTAGATTAAGAAAGGACATAGGCACGTTTATGTATTATGCCTTATTTTTATATACTCCTCCAAAGGTTGTGCTTTTGACAGGCAGGAGAAAATCCCTAGAGGCATTAGGACGATCCACGAAAACAGAAAGAAAGACAACTTGAAAACATGAAATCAATGGACAAATTGATTATTGGACAAATATCCCATGTATAAAGCATGCTTGAAAAATCGATGGACACTGGCGTTCATATTACCTTGAACAAAGAAGCCATTACGTTCTGCTCCCAAGGATATCTCCCACTACGTATCTTTTGCGCCTAGTAACTGCAACATTCTAATTTGGGTTAAGAAAAACCAGGGAAATAATCCGTCGAGTTATAAATAAGCACAATAGACAAAAGAATGATTAATCATTCAAGAAAATAGTTATCAAGTTCACCAATTCACTAGCCTCAACTTGACAGCCAGCATTTTGATAGACTGATTCAGAGTTAAATAATAGTTCAAAAAAAACTAGCATATTCTAAATGAAAGCAGTAATAAGAATAAAGAGAAAATTCTGGTAAATCTAATTGAGAATTATGACTTCCAAAGTGTTGAAAACTCACAACACTGATAAAAGTTAAACTTGATCAAAAAAACCATTTTCATTTTTTCCATAAGTTAGTCAAAAAGATACAAAAAATTTCTGACATTATTTGCTTTATTCCTTTTTTTTTCGTTATGGAACAAAAATATTCAGTAACTTGACTACTAATACTCAAAGTAAGATTAATATACCATCATGACTATGAACACCCACCACCACATGGGAAACATACAAAAATGCATATATATTTTTGAAAATATGGAAAAAGAACGCATATTAACTTGTAAAAATCAGAAAGAACATTGACAAATCGGTATAAACAGGGATGGCTTCAGGTGAAGTAGGTATGGAGTGGTTGACGTCATTTTTAGGATATCAAAGTTGCCTGAAGAATGGAGGTGAAGTACAATGATCCTATTGTACAAGAACATGGATGATATTATGAAATTGCACCAAGTATAGAGGCATCAAGTTGATAAGTCACACTATGAAAAGTTTGAGAGAGGGTGAGTAATTTAGTGTTGTCTGGTTTCCCTCCATTATATTCAACATGGCTTCTTCACTACCCTATTTCCTTTCCAAACTTGATTTTGATATGTTTTACTTAATCCGACGGTCTACCAGAAATAATTCTCTACCTTTACTTGATCAGGACTGTACTTCTGGCTAGCAATTTGCAGTTAAGCTCACAACCTCGAGGAACAAAGAAAATTCAGAACCCTACTTCCAAAATTCACAACACAAACCAAGGGCGGCTCAACCCTAAAGGCCTAAAGCCACTTACCCCAAAAAATAAGGGCCTCGAAAGAAGCAAAAACTCACCTAAATTCAGTTTGCTCAAATACGAAAACATACCGAAGATGTATAATAAACAAAATAAAGCAAGAGGCAAGATTAGCAGACAAAAGATGAAGGAGTTACATACACACATACATAATAGAGAAAACCAGATCTGATGAAGGCGCTGTAATTGTGAGAAGCACCTATTAAACTATTAACCCATACCACTCTTGGGAGTTGGGAAGAAACAAAATATCCTAGTAGAATATTAAAAAAATTATGTATTTATGGTTAATATTAATTTTTAAAAATTTAATAATTGGTTGTTAATTTCTTACTAATTACTATGCACATATTTTTGAACTTTTATTATTGATATAATTATACGTCAAAAAAAATAGCTATTAAATTTACGGTTACTTTTTATTTATTACTTTCTCCATTCCATATTAAGTTAATTTTTAAAACATTTTTCATTTTTCAAATTAACTTAATTGTTTAGTTTTCAAGACTATTTTTAGAGTGTTCTTCCAATTTTACCCTTCATTAGTTAGTATTGGAATTAATGATTAATTAATATTTAGTTATTTTAATCATAAATTTGACATTAATTAATAAGGATAAAAATGGAAAACTAGATTCAATTTATGTTTTTTCTTAAAGGGTGTGAAACACCTCAAAAATTAACTTAATATGGAATGGAGGGAGTAACTTGTTTAATTCACTTCAATTTGAATCAACCATGTTTTAATATTGGCTTTGGAAGATTGTCTTCAATTCTTCGACATGTTTTATTAAACATTTCCAACTCAAACTAATTAGATTATCAAATTATGATTTTTTTTTAAAAGAATATTGTCTTAACTTTAAATATCTACTAAAGATAACAATCACTATAATATTAATTTTTATAATTAAAAATATTACGAAATATTATATAAGTAAATAAATGAGAGATACTCTAAAATTGACATATTCAATAAAGTGAAATCTTACTTTTATATTTAAGCACTTTTAGAATAATTTTGATAGTTCATGTAACAACTAGTTCTATTAAAAAAAAAATTAAAACTATAATCAATAAGAGAGATTTAAACATTTGTGTTGTTAAGTAACACACAATAATTTGTATATGCTTATATTATCAACTGAAAAATAAAAAATAATTATTAAATTATAATCAGTTATAATATATATTTTTAAAATTTATGAGAGTAATATATATATATATATATATATATATATATATATATAATTTATATTTTTTAATCCAAAATCAATATAACAAAAGTACTATTATCCCTCTTTTAAATAGTCTGCAGTACATGGAGCCTATTTGATCAGATGAAATGGCCCATTATTGGGCACAAATTGGGGATAAAACATAAAAATACATTTTCAAATTTGGTTTATATATATATATGTGTGTGTGGGGCTACTGAAGTTTCAAATTGAAGCATTAATTTTCGAAAATCAACCTTGCAGATGAAGACAAACAACAAATTAATCCATTTCTGCTCTTTTTTTTAAATCTTGGCTTTAGATCACCTACTCACAAACACATAAAATCCAAAAGATTTCATATCTTTAAATTGCAAAAGGGGCTCCGAGGAAACTCATTATCATCTATTTTTTTACATGAAAAAATCTTTATAAACAAATAAACATAAAAACCATCACAGTTGTTTTGGAAACAGGACTATTTTTATAAAGAAACAAACCTAAAACTCATCTTAAATGCTTTGGAAAAAGGATTCAGTTTGAGTCGTCTTCTTTAAACAATAAATGAGCAAATAAATGAATAATTTGTGACAAGCTAAATATTAATTATAGTCCAACAAATAAATATTCCGCTTAAACTGTTTCGTTCGATTAAATCATTTCCACAATCAAACAAAACATGAAAAGCAAAAAAAAAAGAAAAAACTTTACGTGACAAAATGTAACTAAAAGATAACAAATATTTCAATAAAAGGAGGAACAGAATCGGAACATGGAAAGCAAAAAAAGACAAAAATCTACGTGACAAAATGCAACTAAAAGATAACAAATATTTCAATAAAAGGAGGAACAGAATCGGAGAGTCGAGAGAGAACTACTTTGAGGGTCTAAAACCTAGAACTTGTCAAGTGGTGTTAATTTCATTTTAGTATGACAGTGTAGCTATTTTATTTTCTCTATTTTAAACTTAGATATTTGTTTGGTATGGAAAATAAATCAACCATAAATAAAATCGGAAGAAACTAAAATATTTTATTGATAAATCAATATGCATACAATTATGTTCTTCCCTTGACTATTCTCTCTTAAGATTTATCGATGATTTGAGGACAGTTAGTGGCGTATTTCTCAACTTTGATGATTTGGACTTTGATCTTCATAATTCAAGGACCGTTAGTAGCATATTTCACGAATTAAGATGATTTGGATTCGATCTCTTTATAAATATTCCATGAATTTGTGAAATATTTGAGATATTTTTTCAAGGGAATATAATACCCTTTATATATGCATGAACCAAGGTTTAGGGTTGAGTAGCCTCCAAGAATCATTATTTAAATTGAATACACCTTGTAAAGTCCCAACTCAAATTGAACATGTCTTGTAGAGTCCTACAAAATTTCAATGTCTACAAATACCCGCGCTTCAAGACTTGTCGGCGTGTAGACTTTTTGAAACTCAAAGACGAGGCTTGAAGTACTCATTCTTCCACCTTTGTGGTTCTGTGACTTCAGATTTGCAGATTTGAAATGTGAGAGAAGAGATGAAGTGCAGATTTGGTCCCACTAGGCGTGTCAATTTGTTTGCAACAAATTTTAAACACATGAAAAATAAATCAACCATAAATAAATCTGAAGAAACAAGAATATTTTATTGATAAATCAGTATGAGTACAATTTTGTTCCTTCATTGATTATTCTCTTTCTTAAGATCTATCGATGATTTGAGGATTGCTAATGGTGTATTTCTCAAACTTCGATGATTTGAATTGATTTTCATAATTTGAGGGCCATTAGTGGCGTATTTCCCGAACTATGATGATTTGGACTGGATTTTCATAATTCGAGGGTCATTAGTGTCATGACCCAGACCATCGTAATTGGCACCCACACTAACTCTCCGATGGGAGAACCATTAATACTAATTAGCTAGCCAAAGAACCAAACAACTAAGGCATTTGAAAATACGAAAGCAGATTTAAATGCTAAGAAAAAGATTAGGAGTTCCCATAAACTCCAACAAAAGTCTAACAACCAAACTAACATTGCGGAAATAACGCCTAGAACCTGAAAGTCAATGTACCAAAACATCTAAAGTTCAACCATAAGTCTAAACATGAAGGGTACAATCCCAAACTAAACATAAGACTAACTAAAGTACTAGTCTAAGTCCGAAATGTGGACGTAGACAGAAAAGAGAACTCATGGCAACCCGGAAGAACTGGCTCACCCTTGAATTCGAACGATCACTGATCTTCTAAGCGAGGTCTGTCAATAGCCGCCGAAAGATGTCATGTACTCAACAAAGAAAGAGCAAGTGCAGCTGGTAGGATCACGCGGCTATCTCAATAAGTGCAACATACATAAGTCATTACAACACAATAATAACATGCAAACATCGAACATATACAATATCAATATCATTTACAAACAACGAACAATTTTACAATTCTCAAATATCACAGTTATGTCAAATCAATGGTCCTCTCATAGAACCCACACCTAAACTGTTAGCGTACCGGTATGTGGTACCCGATCCAATATTTATGTTGGAACGTGGCAATCGATCCCATGTTTATGCCGGAATATGACAACCGATCCAAGTTAGTTTGTCGAAACGCAACATCCGATTCATTCAACAAGCCACAATTAGGGGCGGACCTAGGTTGTGTTTAGGGGATTCACCCGAATCCCCTCGGTCGAAAAATTACGTTCTATATATAGGGCCGGATACTGATTTTATGTGTACATATATTAAAATAACTCTCTGAAAATAAGTGAGAAACTTTAGCTCAATGGATAAGAGGTTCAGCAGTGGCTTATACGTCGTGGGTTCGAATCCCATGCGCAACAATTCCTCTTTTTTTTTTCTTTTTTTTTACCCTTTTTAATGTATGGAATTGGGCTCAACTTTTGGGCTTGGATCATCTTCTCTTTTTCATTATCTTTTCTCTTTTATGTCATTTTTTTCTAATTTGTTTTTGTTTAAATTTATTAGACACATTTTTTTTATTCTTCTTATATCTATTAGTCATTTTATTTCAACATAATTTTATGTACAACTCTTTAAAAATGATGAATTATATATATATATAAAGATAAATTAGATGTAATTGAATGAAGAAACTAAAAATCATCAATATCCTTTTAATAATATATATTTAATAGAATTCATGGAATTTCTTTTCTATTTTTCAATTCCTCTATTTTAGAGAGATGGAAATTATATTTATTTGATTTATTCGTCATTTTTTTTCAACAAGTGATAACTAACCTAGTAAATTAAATTATATGAACTAAAAAAATTGACGATACCATTTATTTATCTTCTGAATATGCATTATAATATTAGTAAATCTATACTTACACATTTTTAGAGAATCTTGAATAATTTTCCTAGTAATATGTGTTTGAATGGATACCAATTATATTTTTAAAAAAATTAAAATGAAAAATAAAGTAAAACATTACAAAATAAAAGTATAAAAAGTACAAAAAAAATTTAAGAATGTTCAATGGAGCAGGGTAAAAGTAGGAAAAAATGCTTAATGCGGTTTGATAAGGTAATATAAATTTAGCGGGTTAAGGTAAATATTTTTCTTCTCCGTCTCGCTTCCTTTTTCATCCTTTAATTTTCACGTGTTTTAGGAATTAATTTATGTAATACAACTGATCCACTATTTTTTTTTATCAACGTAGCTTTGTTCTCAATATTTTTGATTAGTTTGGTGTTAACTTTTATCAAGTAATGAGATACCTTGTACAAAAAACATGTCGGGGTTATTACGCTCACCGCGCACTTACGTTACCTCATGAGTTTCTTCTTTAAATTTCGAACCCCCTAAGCTTAATTCCTGGATCCACCACTAGCCACAATCACAATCACAAAGTACATACTCATAATCATACAATCAAGTCATGATTCATGACATTCATCATTCATCTATCCTCATTTACAATTAGTGTGATCAATAATGCAACATTAGCATACATACACG